GGAAAGAGGACTTGAGAGCATGGATGAAAGCATGCCTCAAAAAATATTAAGCTAACGCCATGTAGAGAGAAAGAATCCCAAGTACAGAGCTGCTCCTTTTATTGACCTCCAAACATGTTTAAAACAAGCAAGTTAAAATCGCCCATTAACTTCCTGAAATCGCAAGCCCTCTCTAAGGCATTTCCCTTCTTCCGCTTCACTGGAGCAAAGGACAGGCTAGGCTCCCTTCTGCTGCTGCCTTCTTGGTGGTGGTAGCGGTTATGAAAGAAGCTCAACTTAGGAGAAAAGGGTCCTCTCTCTTGACTCTGCCGTAGGTGTATTACATACATCAGTTTAACGTCCCCGTCTCCAGCAGATGACAGCCCTTACCTGTTCCAGGCAGCGTGGGAAGAAGGGACATGCCACCATTTAAAGCTCTCTATAGGCTTCTGGCTTTTTTCAGCTGTGGCAAAACAGACACTTGGTTAATCAAGAAATAGACACTTGATTCTGCACCTGGCTACGGGACCGTGGCTAAAACGTAACAGGAGACGAGACAACCACGGTGGATTGGGAAGAGCTCCTGGGGCCCGCTAGCCCAGCTGGGGTCTCCTCCTGGAGAGCAGCATCCTTCTGCTGGATTCAATGGAACGAGGGCAGCTGGGGCGTTCACTCTGGGTGACGGTCTGGAGCCGGGTCTCATGCCAAACTGAATCCATCCTGCAAGAAAGCAAGGGCTAGTTCAGGACATTTAGCTCAGTTAATGATGAGTAGCAAAAGGACAATAAGATATTATGTGTTTTAATGACTAATTTGTTCAACAACATTGAATTTCCCAACTTGAATTTGGCCAACAAAGTTGAATGTGCAAACTTTATCCCTAGTGCAAACCCTTTGATGTCAGTAGAGTTACAGCAGGCATGAGCTGGATATAATATCCATAATCCGTTGTTAAAAACCAAGTGTTATTGTTCTGCACAAATCCCAGCCAGATGACAGTTATTGTCTGCCTCTGCAAAAAGTAGCTTGAGATGTGCGGTGCAACATTTCAAATAAGGACTGCAAGATTTAATAATGCCAGAAGCTAAGTGCCCCCACTTCTCCTCAGTTAATCCCATTATTCCTAAGGGATCCTGTTACACGCTCAGAGAGAAGGTTGCAACATGGCCCTGCAATGTGGGATCAGTCCAACTTCTCTTTGCACTGTATGTTAAAACAAATGGGGGTGAGGAAGGCAGAGCTGAAGGATGTCGGCTTGTGGCATGGATCCTGAGGTACAGAAGATCTGGCTAGAACCCCCTTGGCCCACCCCGTGGCAGGGGCACGCACCACGACTGCCTCTGTGAACGCCGCTTTCCCAGGCGGTGGTCCAGCAGGCAGCCGGGAATCCGAGCCCCGCTGCTGGGACGGTGCATCTCGGCTGCCTCCCAGGAGAAGCTGATGCAACGCACTGTTATCAAGACCACTGCAGGCAGCCCACGTGGCACTGACGTGCTTCGGGCGCTGGTCAAATGCAGTATATCATGGTGGGTTCAGGCTGTCACTTAACCCGTTTACAGCTACTGCTAAGAGACAAGGGTCTGAGCCTGTAAACAGAACCAAAGAGCAACACAGCTTTTGTTTCCTGACTCAAGTTTAGCATTCAATTTGTTTGTTACAAATAATCACATAGTAAATTCAAATCTGCTTTCATTAGAGCAATTTTACGTTAATTAAATCATTTCACATGACTGATTTATCTGCAACAAACAGTCATTTTATTGTCAGTGTACCAGCATTTATCATAACCTCTGTGCGTGGTGAAACAAAGGCTAACAATGCGGAATAGATATTGCACATGTAAAAGAGATAATATACTCCCATCCTCATGGGAACAAGTGTATTCGAGAGCCATGCAGATTAGGTCCAAGGTCAATAGTTGGGGCTTGTCCGGGTTTTTGCTGAGACACCTTCTAAAGCTAGTTGCCGATCTAGGAGGACTCTTTTGAAGTGCAGATAAGCCAGAGAAGCAGGGCAGAAAATTCAGTGTGTTCTTACTCACCACCTCCTCTTCTCAGCCACACAATTAGATATGAAACGGTAGAGAGCCAGCCTGTACAAGCAGGAGCCAAAAATTTGTTCTGCTTTCTGTGCCCCCAACAAAAACACATCAGGCCATATTTAAAAGCAGCTTCCATACCTGTGCTTAGCTCGGTCTTCAGTTCTGGACTGCCGATGGGGCCGAGCATTTTCCAAGGCAGAAGGCTCCATCTGGGTGGAAAAAAAATGGACCTAAGAACAATTTTACAGAAATTAGGTTCAGAACAGCAAGACTCCTGTCCTCCATCCAATTTCTGGCCAAATTTAGATTGAATTCCAGAATAATTAGTGATTCAAAATCAAATCCAACATCAAGGCCATCTCTTTTTGGTTAGGTTTTTTTTTTTTTGGTGTTTCCCCCTTCCTGGTGCAGCTCAGACTATAAATATAATTTCTTTTTCTTTTAGTTGTAGAGTGCTAGTAGCGTAGAAGTTTTCAGACAAAACCAAGAAGGCGGTTCTGGATCCAAGAAAATTTTTCAGAACATGTTGTTCCTTGGCCTCTGTTATCTGGGGTGTGCATTGGGGCGAGTGTCAGGATTTCCCCAGTCCCTGCCACTACGTTGCAGTTTGGCTGACTGCAAACTACTAAAGCATGTATTTTCCAAAGACCTTTTGGACTTAGCCCTATTCACAGCATTTCTCAAAGAGAAATTGTGCTCCTGAGTCCTTTATGCTCCTCTGAAAAAATCTCAGACCTGGGGTATTGGGTTCTGAAGTGCCTCCTCTGGGGAAGATAATACAGCATACATATCCCACAAGGTTGATGTGAAAGCTAATGATAGTGCAGCACATTCCAAAAAAAGTCTAGTGAAAATTCAAATGAGCATTATCTTTTAGCAGGGGTGCAAAGTATTTTTCCATATTCCCATAAAAAGTAAGACTTCACTTCCAAGAATCCCCATGGAGTTAATGGAATTGACAGATAGATGTAATTTAACTTGAATAATGGCATCAGTATCTCAGTAAATTCTGTGAAGGTGTATCTGAATGGGAAAACACAAATAGAAATCACTTGATTTTCTAATTCTGCAAAACTGACATTATGTTGGAAAAACCTCTTCCTTCCCCCAAAGGTTTTGATGCCCAGTCCAAGTCTGCTGTCACCAGAGCTGTTTTTGCCGCTTCCTTGGAGACTATATTTGTCCCTTTATTTCTGCTGAAGACAAGTCTATCTTTAGGGCTGAGCTCAGATTTCTCATGCCAGGATAATGAAAGGTGGCTGTGTCGCATACATTGTGGAATTCAACACTTCTCTCAACCTGCTGGCCAGAGCAGGTTTTTACAACACATGCTCGCACTCCCTGAGCATGTGGCTGTGCCATCATCATTAGTCAGAACTGGAACGGTTGCTAAATACATACTCTGTCACAAACAGAATGGGATTTAAGATGAAAAGCTGTGCACAAAGTACCCAGAATTAACACCTGGGGAGATGGGGGCAATCAGTCTGAGGTTTTTGGCTGGATCTAGGTTGATCATCCAACAAGGATATTTTTGTCTCGCGTCCTGATAGCACAGATATTAGGATGCTGCAAGCACAAACAAAACAAGGACCTAGCCCTGAAAAGCTGTCCGTTCTTTCTACCCCTCCTTACATTCTACAGAAAAGCAGCATCTGCGATACTTTATTCCATCTCTAAAAGAAAAAAAAGCAACACGGGATGTTTTTTCCTGATTTTCATCTTTTTCTGCATATAAATTATATTGTTGTTAAATTGTATTCTGTACAGCTATGTAGTTAGTAAACAAGAGACAACAAATGCGACAGTCTAAAAAAATTAAAATTTAAGAAAATGCAAAAATATTTCATTTCAAACTTCCAAAGGTTTCCAGTGAAGAACTGTTCTGAAATTTTTGTGCTAAAAAGGCAACATTTTTTTCGGCTGCCTTAATGGGAGACAGAACTGTCCATTAGGTGGTCAGAAGTTCAAATCTGATTCTAATCACTGGTTACTTCAGTAATGCCCAATTGCTGAGCCTTGGTCTCTATGAAAAGACTAGATCTGACTGCAGCGAAGGATGAGAGAGTTTGAAAATTTTCAGGCTATAATTGAGTAGAACAACAAAACATTTCTTTCCCAATTAAAAATTTCTCTTTGGATCATCCCATTTTTGTTAAAGTTGAAGCATTTTACAATATTCACAAGATGCAGGTTTTCAGGTTCTGGAATGAGCTCTTTGTTCACATCCAGAGGGAAAGGACTACAAACCTGAATACTTCCATCTGAAAGCAATCCTTTGGACAAAACTTCCTTTAATTTCACAGAAGACCATTTTAAAAAATGTTTATCTCCTTCCAGCATGGGTCAAAGACACATTAGAAACATGGGAAGAAGTCATGATACAGAATTGCCTTTCTCTGGCTGCTTCCATTAGTAATCACAGCAGAAAACCCAAAAGCAGAGCAGAGGGAAGGAGGGAGCGACACTCCTGTGTCCCTGGAAGGTCTTCCCCGAGGCTCACTTATAGCAACGTGGAAGGACTCACGATATTACTTTTAAGGAACTCTTAATGAAGATGAACACCTGACATTGAAATCCCTGGAGAACTCAAAACATTTCATCAATTGTTTTTCTAACAATCACCTAGTACAGAAGGGTAGATAAAGGCATTCGGGAAGGATAGCGGCTATAGATATACAGCGTAGGCTATAAAAATAAAAAAAACCCGTAAGTAAGCTAGTGCAAATGGCATATACAAACAGGAGCTGTTTTTAATGGTAACACCCATTTTCGCACACGCTTCCAACAAGGTCTGGGCAGCAGTCAGCACCCTCGGAAAGCATCACTGCCCTAAGCAACGGAAAAAAAGAGCTTTTGGAAAAACAAGAGTGTTCCTGTAATAGCAGTGAGCACTCCTGTGCACTGCACACTTGAAACCCCAAGTTTCCAGGCCCTCTGATAGCAAATAACCTGCCAAGGCTGCTTCTCATAGGATGGCCTTCAAGTATGAAGGCTTGAATCTTTGCCAACCAGTACATCGCTACCAAAAACACATGTGAGCAAGCACAGACACCATGGATGGCAGGCTGGGCAGGAGGGCTAAGGGCATGCCATCGGGCTCACAGCTAAGCCCAAACAAGCAATCGTGGATCCTAGAATGCAATCATGAATTTTCTGTCCCCAACCATTAAAAATCCCCGTTCCCCATCCAGCACCTCACCAGGTCTGCTCGGCAGGGCTGAGCACACCTGCTCGCTCAGCCCCAGGATCAGCACCACTCCCATCTCTGCTCCAGCAGGAGAAACCCCACCATTTGGCCTCCTAACATAACTGCAGCACTCTCTCCTTTTTCCAGGGAAAGTACTAGTTCACTGTGCCATGGGAATCAGTCGATCTGCAACTCTTGTCCTCGCTTTCTTAATGATCTGTGAAGATATGTCCCTCACTGACGCAATTCGGGCTGTGCGCTCACACAGAGGCATCTGCCCCAACTCCGGCTTCCTCAAGCAGCTTCGGGAGCTGGATCTCCAGTTACGAAGGAGGAAAAGCAGAGGAGCAGAGGCCTGTTAGTGCCGAGGGGACATGTCTCCTGGCACTGGAGCAAGAGACACTGCCCTCACTGCAGACAGTGCAAGGATGCTGTTGGGACTGCTCTGCAGCTGCACTGAGAAACTCCTTGGGAAACAGCTCAGCATGGGCAAGGTGGTAGGAGTTCGGTATGTATTTTTAGGATAAGCTCACTAATTGGAAAGAAAATTAAATAAAGAAGGATTCAAACTGGCAGTTTTGCCCACCTGGGCCTGTTTGTTTAACTACCCGTTGGGCAGGGCACGGGGAGCAGCTGGGTTTTCATGCAGAATTAAAAGGCAGCACAGTCAGCTTGAAAAAAAGACTTTTTACTTGCTTATAGTTGCATTTATATGGCAAGAGGGAAAATGGCTAAACTAGTAAAAAGGAAAAGAAAGCATGAGGTTTTTCAGCAAATCTTTAACATTTCACAGCCAGCTGGCAAAGGGCGAGACTTCAGGTTTTGCAAGCTGACATGTTCCTTTAGTCTGACATGGTGACACTAGTCAGGATCCAACTCAGACCTTGGGCTCTCTCTATTACAAGCCACAGAGGCTCTTGCTTGGACCTTCACAAGTCCTTTTAGCTTCAGACCTATGGCAAATACTCAGAGCTTAAGAAGACTATGAAATTCTCAGGAGCCGATATGGGAGGTGGCAGCGAGTCGCTGCACCCTGGGGCACGGCTATCGACAGGCTGCCTGCCGGTCAGAGGGAAGGCAGGTGTCCCCTCGCACACGTAAAGCAAGGGGCACGCTCAGGGCACGCTGCTCGCTGGCGCACTGCAGGGCGGCAGCAGCGCCAGACAGAAACATCTTCTCTTGGCTTGCAACCCAGCGCTCCGAATCACGTTCCCCAAATTTCCCCGATTGAACGGAAAGCCAGAACCTAGTGTCATCGTGTCAGAGCAAAAATGAGCAATGCCTCCAACAAATCCAAAGCAGCAGCTCTGCATTTCGATTACTCTTTTACGCCCAATTGGCCACATTTAATCTTGTGAAGAACTCGAAGCAGATATTTGCTTCAGTGCAATTACAGCCACATACAGAACATTGGCAAATGCAAACAATATAGAATTTCCACTTGACGGCAGATTAATTTGGTGTGATGTTTTCCCTTGAGAGGTCTTAAAGGCTTGTAGTTCTGAAAGTACCCTGCAGTTTGTATTTATAGCACTATGGATGTTGAATAGAAAGAGAAAAGTATATACTCATTCTGAACTGGTTTCTTTTGCCTCCATACATTAAAAAAATTAACTGAGCATAGCACACTTCCACCGCATTTCTCATAACGCAATATGGAAACATGATTTCCCTGCAGAGCCTATAGAGAAATTCAGGTGGTGTTTCTACTTTTATAAACATAGTAAGTAAAACACAAGCAATGCTATGGACTAATTTCCTCTCAGGGAACAGAGAGATGGGTCTTCCCTCCAGAAAGGGTCCCATCCTTTGAGACTGGAGTAAGCGGCCAGAAGGGAGTTCATAGCTAATGATGGAAAACTCAGTGAAGTTATAGCTTTCACAGGTCTCTTCCTGGCTGCTGCAGCAAGGAGATTAGATTTCAGTGAGCATGGTGGTTGAACCACTCCTGGCACTTGGGTCTCCTCCACCTCAGTCTGTCTGGGGATCATTTTTTATTGCAGACCACGCTCAGGCTCTTTTGTGAGTAGTCTTTTCAGTTGCCTTACGAACCACTCCCTTCAACTCTCTAACTCGGCCTGTGCCAAGCCAAATGGCACTATATTAAAGCACAAGGTTATATATGAAACACAACTGGCCAAAATCTCCATGCATTGAGCCTGTCAGGACAGGTCATAATTCCCAGCAAGTTGCATGTCTGGAAACATCTGTGGTTGCAGGGCGGAACTGAAAGTGAACAACTTTTCTTAGAGTGACTGAGCCTAAATTTACCCCAGCTGAGGGGCGAGAGCTCCTGCAGGACTGCTTCATCTGGCCAGGGACAGCCATAGATTCCCCTGCCATGCGTGACTTGCAGCTGGGAGCAGTAATTCCGGCTGGAGCTGCAGCCTGCCAGGAAAGACAGGGCACTGGCAAAGCAGGACTGCTGGCTGGGTGTCACTGTTACAGGTGTACAGTGGAGGCTTCCTCTTCAACTGGGGAAAAAAAAAACCAAAAGACCAAAACCCAACCAACCAATGAAGAACAAGAGGTCAAAACACTGACCCAAAGACTAGAAAGTTGCTATCCAACCCTAGGACATAGAATTCCCTTTCTAGAAGAGCCTGGGCTGGTTCCAGCGCTTTGCATTGCTGTGAAGCTCAGGCAGCGGGAGGCAGGTCCCCACATCTCCCTCCAGCAGGTGACAGTACCTGAGCCCACTGTTACCTTCCCTCTCTGGGAGAGCTGCAGCATCATGGAGGTGGCCCGGAAGGGGCACAGCTGCAGGCTCAGTACTTGATGACAATTAAGCAGTCCTAATCTCTGACCCACACCTGTTGCACACTGAGATGGCTTATTGCCCCTGTTCTTAGTTAAGCAAAAATCTCTTGAAATTACAGCTGGAATCAAGACCAAGAAGAGGAAAACAACATTGGGGTTGGTCCCAGGTATATCTTGTGCTACAATTTCCGGATCCAGAGTTGTTGGCTCTTTGCAAGCCGCCAGCTCAGCCCAAGCAATGAGGAATAGCTGCTTTCCGCCACAGCCCTCCTCGCTAGCTACACGGCATTTGGTCCTGATGTGCAGCTGCCAGTTGTGTTGCTGCTGCGGCTGGAGCCCCACTTGCTGCCCTGCAGAGGCACAGCCACCGCAGCACCAGCTGGAACCACCCGTGCCCAGTGCCTTGCCTAAATATTACCGGCCAAAAGCAGTGTCAGTTGGGGCTGCAGGCAGGGTGGAAGTGATCAGCATGGCAGATTCAGACATATTACTGGACAGAGCAGCATTCACGCTGTCACCTTTTCCATGCCTACTTCTTACCCAGAGCAGAGCAAACGCTGAGGCTTATTTACAAACACCTATCCATTCCATGTGCTTATGGAGGAGCGACCTCCAGCACTGTGGTGCAGCCGGTGCACTTCCCACACAGCAAATCTGTGAGGGAGGATGGATGTTGTAGCCCCTTTTCGCAGTGAAGGCACCTGGAGCTTGCCTGCGCTGCAGCAGGGTGTTTGGGGAAAAGCACAACAGAATTGCTCTCCAGCCTCCAGAACTGGAACAAAAGACTGCAAATAGTTTTCTCACATAAGATATCTTGCCTTCACCAGCTTTTCCTCCCAGACTTTCAGCAATGATAAATACAGAGAATATTGCTGTGGGCATGTCTGCACTGTGTTATTTATCCTTTGGATTTACACTTCGGGTTTTATTTGTAAAAGGAAAGTAGGACCATAAATCTGCTCTGCAAAGAGCCAAGGGAAGAGAGGATAGAAATTTTCAACAAGTTGCATGGAAGGAGACATTGCCAAGGACAGGTTTCCCATGGAAAGAGATGCCAGCCAGGATATTGCCCAGCTACACACCACATGTAGTGGTGACAGCTAAGAGCATCAGCCTTTCTCTTGCAGGTGCATTAATTCATACCTCTGTGCACAGGTAGCTTTCGGGTTGCTGTAGCAAGGATGGCCCTCCTATGGGACCTTCGTAAGTCATAGCTTTTGCCCATTTTCTCCTACCAAAAAAAAAAAATAAAAAAAAATATATATATAATGAACTGGGACCAGAATAGGCCACAAAGCTAAAAAATTAGGTGTGACCAAGACTAATTTGTCAGGATTGAGTAACAAGCCACTGGACAAGCCAAAGTTGACCACTTTCCAGAGTAACCATATTGTTCATGGCCTTCAGTGTATACACAGCCGCTCTTTGGACACAGCGCCCTAAGTAAAACGCAGCAGATACAGGTGAGGCTGGAGCCAGGCAGTCTCACAGGCAGATGCCCTGGTTCTCCATTACACCGACCTGTCCCACGTCAGCCAGTGGCTCCCACTTCTGCTTTAACTTCAGCACTGCCCACCAAGACCCTGTGACTTTCTTCTGTGTGACCCTGATGTCTAGATTAGATCTGCCTGGGTCCTGCCAGCCCCTCCAGAACTGCAAAGCACTGTCAAGTCCACTTGCCAGACGTTATCCTGCTCCCATTATTTTTCATGTCTTGTATTTTCCTGATAACAAGGCTAAGCTATGTGTTACTGGGAAAAGGGGCTTCAAGATAGCTTGTGCTTTGCAAATTTACTTCATAGTCTGAGGTTCAAAGAGTATATGCAGCCCCTGAAGCCAAGTCAAACAGGAATCTAGGGCCCCCGAGGCTTTCAACGGTTAAGTTTTCTTTAGGCTACAATTATTTTGCTTAGAAACTAGACCCTTGATCTGTTGCAGAAGGCTGCAGTTTAATAAAGTCAAACAATTTGCTCTTTGCAATGTACTATTTGCGGTACAAGTATCATCGAGTCATACTGCTCCCCCTCACTGCTGCCTCCTGGAACCTTGTCTGTTTATATACAGAAAGCACTCTCAGGAAGCACTCCTAAAAATACCCAGCAATGTTAGCTGAGGATCTGCCTCTGTCTCTCCTCTTCCTGCTTCTGCCTCCATAACATCCTTCCATCATCCCCATGCTCAACAACCCCAGCTGTTCAAGCAACCTTATTCCTGTCTCACCCTCTACAAAATTTTTTTTGCCTTTCTCCTCTGCCAGTAGCCATTCTCCACCCTGTCATAGAGTGCATTCCATGATGCCACCATGCCACATCCCATCTTAATGTTTTCTCACTTGACTACTAAATTGCAGTGAAGCTCACATTGTCTTTATTAAATCCTTGAGTACACCCGCATGGGTCTGTCCACTTTTCAGACAATAAGAAGGTGCCAAGTCAGGGCAAAAATAGTACCAGAAAAAGAATAACATCTTTTACTAGACTGCAAAACAAGATGCAGTACTCTCCACAGACTAACTTTTGAAACTGCTCTCAGGGAAGCTACCTGCAGATAAAGCATCTCCCAATGGAAATGCCATTGGAAATAAAACTATTTTCACAGTAGT